ATTTATTTATTTATTTATTACATGCCTGGGGTGGACCTGTGCTTCTTTGGGGTTGCTGCTAGAGAGAAGGAGACTACTTAAAGACTGTGGTGTCCGCCTAGCTCCTCTGGTTTACAGTTTTTTAATTTTTACTGACTTGTCGAAATCGAAGAAATCCTCATTTACGAGATCCATTCGATTGCTATACGAGCTGGATGGATTACGAACGAGTGCATAGAAGAAAAAATAAAAAAAAGAAATACTCAGAAAACCCAACCACCTTGCATCATTCCTCCACGAACGGGAGAGAAATTGTCGAACAAGAAATCAGGCTGCAGGTTATCTACACAAAGCTCGAGCGTACGCAAGCCTAAGCACTAGTCATAAGGTAAATGAATCGAAGGAAACGCTATAAGAAAAACAAACCCTGCTGAACCAGGTTGGGCCCGCCGTTGAGAGCGCAGACGAGCGGCTCCATCAGCAGCGGCAAATGAGGAAGTAGAGTGGACAGTCTCACAGGTACGGTAAGACATAATTCGACGAAAAGTTCTCGCATCATTTGACGATGATCACACCACTGCCAAGTAAACTTTCGTTGTTGAACTACAGGCACAGAACCATGGGTGGTCACATACCTGCAGCTTGTTGAAAAAGAGCATCAAATCTGGCAGAAGAGGCAGAAATTGCGAGTAAAGGATATCATGAAGACCACCGCCAATTGATCTGAACAGAGCGCGAAGAAGCATAAAATAGTTGATAGGATCTCGTGCACTCAGCGCATATTCCATCGACTTGCGGATGAGTTCAGGCAAATACGGCTAGAAAACAATGTCATATAGGAAGCAAGCATGATGAACTGAAAACAAAAATAACCCCATCGACAAACTTTGAGCATAATTTCTCCATCAGGGCTGGCAGAATTTTGACAGCCAATTGCGGAAAAGATAATCTTGAACAGTTTCACGTATAACGTTGAGACGTCATTCATCACTGAACTATGCTTGTAAAAGAAAACTACAACAGAATTGGACTTTTGAGAAACGGTAGACATTACCCAACCTGCTAAACATGGTAACCGATCCATGAGGTACTTGACAATTATGCATCCAAATCTGAAGGAAACATCCGCTCGGACCAAAAAGGCATTACATGCCAGTTGAAGTGGTAGATTTCTGAAAAAATGGATACAAAAGTGTGTTGGCCTGCTGACCGAGCATACTATGACGAGTTCGAATTCTAACTAGATTATGACGGGACGAAATGAGCTGTAGCCTCGCGCTACCATTTAATGGGAACAGGTACTGCGTTCGGCCATAACGAACTTTGCCTAACCTGAGTCATTCTACTAATCAGCACCTTTGTATGGATTTGTTTAGGCACAGTACACCTCGAGTTACCTATACGGTATCAATTACACGCAGAATGCGCGGCGCACTCCGTAGTATTTTGGCACTTCACCTCTTTGATTCGCACTCGCTTCAGTATGAGGCGCATGATACTCTTTCTCTGGCTAGCCCAGAAAGACTCAGTACGAAAGAATTGAAATCAGCACTCACTTCGCCATGCGTACCACAAAAAAGTCCATGTACTTTGTGAATATTTCACCGAAAACGTCCAAGTTTAGCATTGTGAACTGGAATGAAACATGATGGGAACCCTTTCATTTCGACTTGAAAAATAATTAAACATTACCAAATACGCCAGCGCATCCAGAGCATCCTTCTCCTCCTTCGATCTCGTACCACCGGGAACGCTGGAAACAAGAGTTCGTATCTACAGAAAACTAAACGACATCCAAAACACCGAGTACCTGTTTGGCACTTGCATGCGTGATGGAGGTTGTGGGTATGGGATCATATAAACGTCTAAGCACTGAACACAGTATTTGAACATCCGTTCGAAAATATCGCGTTCTCGAACCAGTGGCGGCGACTCTGAAACGTTCTTGTTCATATATCACAAGAAGGTACAGAGAACATATGAGCCCTATCTGATGATGACAAGAGGCGTCCCCAGCACAGAGCAGCGAGCGAAACGACGGCTGCGGTGGTCCAAACGGAAGAGAAGCGAAGACGTATGTATAAGAGATTCGGCAAGGGAACACGCAGCATTTAGACACTTCAAGAGATCAGCAATTATACAACTGCCAAAACGACTTTTCGCGTCAAATATCTACTGGTTCGTCTGCGCCCAGCGAATCTGCAGACGGCTTCCACTACCTCCC